GGTGGTGGGTGGAGACAGACCCCATCATCTAATGAGCACATGTATGGGGGCAGTGAGTGTTCCTTTCTAGGTAAGAAACAGAACTTTGAAGACTACTTCAACCTCCACAGGTCCTTCTGTGGTAAACTGTAATTCAGTCAGGGATTTATTTCCAAGACAGTGAGCTTTTTCTTTCTGAACATACACCATACCTTAAATGAACACAGAGCAATGGGTTTTGCATGGGTATTTGGAGGGAGAAAGGCAGGTAGCTTGTACTTTGATTACATATCCAATACTCTTGCTATAGGATAGTCACTGGCTGATCCATATTATCTCTATTAAGAAAAGGAGCCAAACTGCTCAGTCCAGCAAGTGACTAACAACCGCTTATTTCAGCACTTGTTCCCTGAACAAGCTGTCCCATTAAAAGTAGAAAATTAAAGCCTTGCTGAAGCCTGGAGAGCCTAGCTTACTGCAGGAGGAAAAATCCATGTTATTTGTAATAGGAAACCTCTTCCCTAGCGCAGGGAGAAAAACTCGAGACTGTTCTAAAGAGTGCAAACTAAAGATCACATGATCTGACAGATTCCCTGAGAGAAGAGACGAACCAGCTTTGGTTAAAACCTGAAGTTCACAAACCAGTTCAAAGTTCAACTAGTAGTAAAGCAGTATAATAATCTGACTATAGCAGAAAAAAAATCAAAAGTATTAGCTAATTTTGCTGCTATACCTCATCTGCATAGAAATGGACGATAAACGTGTGCACAGAAGTACCTGGCTAAATGTACCAAAAAGACTGAGGAAACATAAAATCAGTACATTCTATCACTAGTCTGGTGGAATTAACCCCACTGCACATGTATGACTTCAGAGTAAAAGGATCTTTTTTTCTGTGGATCCAGATCCTGGGTACCAAACAACTGCCTTGCCTAGCACAGAAAGTTATCTCAAGACAGAACTAGATGAATCGAATATGTTGAACTGGGTGCTAACCCGCCCAGACAAAAAGCACTACCATCAACTCATCCTTATTTCTGCTAAGAAAGTTCTCCGGCTATGAGGACTTGTTTTTTGAGTACTTCTCCACTCTGGACTTCAGTCATAGCACTAAAGAAACAGAGCAGAAAAAAATCCTATTTATCCACCATAGTTTTAAGTCCTTTCTTGTATCTACTGATTGAAGTGGATTTATAATACTGGAAGACGAGTAACAAGAATTTCGATGAACACCACCTGTTCTTCCAGGAAAAACATGAATACCACGTACATAAGCCAGTGCACGCAGTTTCAATTCAAATGTAGTTATTTTTAAGGAGAGCAGAAGAATAAGCAAAGCCAGCCTTCACTCAACACCCTGCGCCGACAGAAAAGACGATGCCTTGACTACGCACAGATCTCGCCACGCATAACTGCGTACAGCGCAGCGGGATACCTCTGGTTCCCAATGACGGTTGCTAGAAAGGACAGGTAAACGAGTGGAATGCTTGCCAAACTGCAGAAATCCCAAGTTACGCTTTTAATCGGCTTTGTGATTCACTGTGGGCTGAGACTTCCCACCGAATAACGAGCAAGAATTATCCTCTGGTTGCCGTTGTTGTGAAACGTTTTCCATCGCCTCGATGATCCTATGATTTCCAGTTCCTCAAGAACTGACTTCGGCACCGGACACAGGTCTGGGAAACAGGCGCTGGGGATGCCGTGCAAGGAGAGAGGAAGGCGGCGGCCGTGCCCGCGCGGTACTCACAGGCCTCGCTGGAGGCGAGGTGGGGGTAGCTGTCACAGCCGGCGTCCCGGGACTCGATCACCACCT